CCTGCAGAGCTTAACTTGTCCTTCGCTCCCGCGATGTGTCCCCTGCAGCGTCCCCGGCCATCTCCTCCGGCCGATAACGGCATCTGGCTTCTGTGTTCCGGTCCCTGTGACGTCGGGACGTACGGGCGCCGGAACCGGCGGGAAATTTGAAAATTTTAAAAAATGAATTTTTTTTCTATACGAATTTTACATAGTAAAACATTGCTGTTTCAAACCATTTCATATACATTTTGTCCCGAGCGCTTTGTCCTGTGCCCTGCCTGCATTTTGACTGTTCTTTCTGCCTAAAAAGCGTCCCTTTAGGTCAAAAGCGGGTTTAGATCAGCTAGAGAACAGCAATAGTAAATCAGAACCACTTGCAGAATTGAGTGATGATTCGTCTTCTATTGGGCTCTGTGCTCACTGCCCGGCACCATAGAGCTCGATTGGCATTTGCCATTGAACACCAGAATTGGCAGGTTCACCACTGGCACCCTGTGCTTTTCACAGATGAGAGCAGGTACACCCTGAGCACATGTGACAGACGTGAAAGGGTCTGGAGAAGTCGTGGAGAATGTTATCCTGCCTGTAACATCGTTCAGCATGACCGTTTTGGTGGAGGGTTAGTGATGGTCTGGGGAGGCATATCCATGGAGGGATGCACAGACCTCTACAGGCTAGACAATGGCACCCTGACTGCCATTAGGTATTGGGATGAAATCCTTGGACCCATTGTCAGACCCTACGCTGGTGCAGTGGGTCCTGGGTTCCTCCTGCTGCACGACAATACCCGGCCCCATGTGGTGAGAGTATGCAGGCAGTTCCTGGAGGATGAAGGAATTGATACCACCACGCTCGCCTGACCTAAATCCAATAGAACACCTCTGGGATATCATGTTTCAGTCCATTCAATGCCGCCAGATTGCATCTCAGACTGTCCAAAAGCTCAGTGATGCCCTTGTGCAGATCTGGGAGGAAATACCCCAGGACACCATCCGTCATCTCACTAGGAGCATGCCCTGACGTTATCAGACATGCAGACAAACACGTGTGGTTCATACAAATTACGGAGTACCATTTTAGTTGCTGCAATGAAATTTAATCAAAAATGGACTAGCCTGCTGCATCATTTTTTCAATTTGATTTTTGGGGTGTCTTTGAATTCAGTCCTCTGTAGGTTGATCATTTTGATTTCCATCAAGCGATGGGGCATCCTTACATTCCTAACACATTACTCAGTCCATATCAGTATAGATATCCAGCATGAGATTTTTCCCCATTGAGATCTGATGTGTTTTCAAAGTGTCCCTTTTTCTGGAGCAGTGTGTATACACACAAACACACACAAACACACACAAACACACACAAACACACACTGCATAGCAAACATCCTGAAACCGAAAGCCAATACATCGCTTGGAGAGCAGCTCACATGACATCCTTTGGAAATGCTCAAAAGTTGCCAGCTTACTTTTGACAGTACTGTTTTATGAAGAGACTCCAAGGCTTATGTCAAAGTAGAAATTTAAAAATAATCTGCGACACTGCATCACAGAGAATGAGATATGAATTATTCCATAGCTTTAAATACACAATATTGTATCAAGACATATTCTATTATATAACTCCTTGTGCAATGCAGATGTCCATGCCGATAACTTCCGGTCAGGCTCAGCAATCACTGAGAAGATCAATGAAGATGAAATCTACACCACAACATGACCGATTTTAGTACCCATATTTGCTGAGCTCAGGATGTAACTCGGTTATTCAAGAATTATCAAAACATTTTCCCTTAAAAAAAAAAAAAAAAGACTGCAATCCATGTTGTTTGGTAGCAACTGCTAATCAGGTTATGAACCACCTCCCGTCCGGCTGTTGTATATAAACAGCCGGACGGTGGCAGTGCAGGGTCAGGTGGCCGTTTATAAACAGCCTCCCTGCTCCCTGCTTGCTCGCGCTCCCAGGGAGCACGCAGCACCGCGATTCGGTGCCAGCTGTGTCCTCCTGACACAGTGGAACACCGATTGTTGTACGGGACCTCTCTGTGAAGTCCTGATCATGTGATCACTGATTGATTAATCAGTGATCACATGCAGAGTAGTAAGCAAGATGTCAATTCTGACATCATTGCTTACTACGTTTGAAATCTGTGAATGATCACAGAGGTCACATGGTACAAGGCTATTCACAACAGCCTTGTACCATGTGACAAGCTGTGACCAATCACAGCTCACACAGTAGTCCTGAATGGCTGCAAGAATGCAGCCAGAGAGAAGGAGAAATGATTGCTTTTACACCCATAAAGGCTGTAAAGCAATCAATTTAAAAAAAAAATAAAAATCGTCATCACGGTGACACTGTACTGCTAGGGTGACAGTATGTAAAAAGAAAAAAAAACCAAAACATATAAATATAAAAAAATAAAATAAAAATGTAAAAAAAAAAGTTTAAAAATTATAATTTTTGGTTATAAGCTAATTTGGGTTATTTTTTTTTACTAAAAAGATAACGGAACAAAATTAAATTAAGATTTATGATTAAATATTATTTATTTGCAAAATTTTATAAGAAAAACACTTTTTTCAAACTTTTTGGACTTTTCATTTACATAGCAAAAAAAATAAAAATCCCAGTGGTGAATAAATACCACCAAAATAAAGCTAAAAAATTCATATAGGTACAGTGTTGCATGACCGCGCGCAATTGTCATTCAAAGTGTGATAGCGCTGAAAACTGAAAATTTTCATGGACAGGAAGGGGGTAAAAGTGTCCGGACTTGAAGTGGTTAAAACAAGCATGGAAGAAGTCGATTATTAGATATATAGGCACAAACTCTAGAAAATAGGCCTTAGTATTTTAGATGATAAATTCCACACATAAATAAGCACACTGTAAAATCAGAGCACACCTTGGATTTGAGAAAAAATTATAGCCAATTTGGGTGATTAACATTTTGAGGACGGGGATATCAACAACAGACTTTTATGCATGTATTAGGGCTCATTTACACTTGCTTCGACTTTAACACACATTAAAGAGCCTACTGCTTGATCATGCTTTTTTAATGCTTCTGTGATGCTTCGGCTTTTTTGAAGCTTAGCAAATGCCTGTGTGTGTTGATTTTCAATTTGTTTTAAAGGGGGCAAGTAGAACCCCCGCTCAGTAGTACTCCTGTTCAGCAGATCCCCTGCTCAGTAGTACCCCCAGATCTGCTGATATCCCACTCAGTAGTAACCGCTAACTCTGCTGATCCCCCACTCAGTAGTAATCCCCAGCTCTGCTGATCCCCCGCTCAGTAGTAATCCCCAGCTCTGCTGATCCCCCACTCAGTAGTAATCCCCAGCTCTGCTGAATCCCCCGCTCAGTAGCAATCCCCAGCTCTGCTGATCCCCCAGCTCAGTAGTAATCCCCAGCCATGCAGATTCCCCACTCAGTAGTAATCCCCAGCCCTGCAGATTCCCCCGCTCAGTAGTAATCCCCAGCCCTGCTGATCCCCCGCTCAGCAGTAATCCCCAGCCCTGCTGATCCCCCGCTCAGCAGTAATCCCCAGCTCTGCTGATCCCCTGCTCAGTAGTAATCCCAACTCTGCGGATCCCCCGCTCAGTAGTAATCCCAGCTCTGCCGATCCCCCGCTCAGTAGTAATACCAGCTCTGCCGATCCCCTGCTCAGTAGTAATCCCAGCTCTGCCGATCCCCTGCTCAGTAGTAATCCCAGCTCTGCCGATCCCCTGCTCAGTAGTAATCCCAGCTCTGCCGATCCCCTGCTCAGTAGTAATCCCAGCTCTGCCGATCCCCTGCTCAGTAGTAATCCCAGCTCTGCCGATCCCCTGCTCAGTAGTAATCCCAGCTCTGCCGATCCCCTGCTCAGTAGTAATCCCAGCTCTGCCGATTCCCTGCTCAGTAGTAATCCCAGCTCTGCCGCTACCCCACTCAGTAGTAATCTCCAGCTTTGCCGATCCCCTGCTCAGTAGTAACCCACAGCTCTGTTGATCCCCTGCTCAGTAGTAACCGCCAGCTCTGTTTATCCCCCGCTCAGTAATAACCACCAACTCTGCTGATCCTCTGGTTTGCGGATCCTCCTCTCTCTCTGGTCCTTGCTCAGCTCCTGCTGTATTCCTCCAATGCTGCTTACCATGTGTGACATTGCTAGTTTCATCTGCTCCGGTCCCCGCTCACCTTCTGCTATAGCATATGTGTGCTGTCTGCTAATTGCTACGCTCCGGTCTGGACCTCACCCACCTTTCTGCTGCTCCTTGCTGCACACCAGATGTGACACTGCATTAGACACTTCAAAAATATATACACATGAAGCGGAAGTAGTGAAAGACATCTTTCTGGATTTGCTAGTTGGTTTCCCAGTGCATCCTGAAATATCTCATTTTTGCAATATCTCCAAAACAAAGCAAAGCTAAAGCTGAATAAAAGCCTATCAAAAGCTAGGTGCTAATAGGGAGCTTTGTCATAGACCTCTATGGAGGTTATAGAGATGCTTTAAAGCACCAAAAAAGTGACATGGGGTAAATTTTTTTTAAATGAAGTGAAGCAAAGCAAGTACAACATGTAAACAGGACTGTAAGCATACCATTTTATTTAGTGACAGGTGCTTTAAGGACTGGCATTAGGAGTACTTAAAAAAGCATGTCCAATGCCACATTTTGAAGCAAGTGTAAACGAAGCATTACAACTTGGCTAGAATTACTATTCCCAAAGCTGAACAGTAGGAAACATATGTAAAGCCCTGTATATTACTTATTGGAGGATAAAAAAAGGTTATATATCAACCATGCTCTGAGTTGTTTCAAGGACCTGTCTTTTTTAACTTTGCAAAAAGAAGTAGTGCTGGGAAATGGCTAAGCTATCTGGTATGGATAGCTGGATTAAAAGAATGGTTAGAGGGAATCACAAATCTTTTGGCAGGTATTCTGTGGGCATTTCAACTGTGAATGGAATGTTTGTCTACAAATAGATATGTGTAGTTCCATCACTCAGAATGGGATAACTAATTTCTAAGTACTTACCGGCATGCGTTCAGTCACACCTCCAATTTTGAAATTCATTGTTGATCGAACAGTTTGGGCTCCATAATATTTGTCATTTGGGACTTTCAGCTCACCAAATGTGTCAGATTCAATTCGATAGGATTCCGAGCTGGCCTGAAATTACAAACAGCATTTGTTACATCATAAATGAATTAGGAAAAAAACTTTTTAAAAACCTTTAAAATAAAGGTCATGTGTAGCGATAGAAAAGCTTAACCTGCATGGATATAGAAAAAATAATGAATGCAATTATTTAAAGCTGAGCTACAAGAAAAGAGATTTAAATGCAATACAGCCTTTTACCGAACCAATTTCTCCTACCTGTCAATGGACAGGGAAGAAGCAGAACCGCACCGATTAGGTTGGCTTGTGATTTGTTCTAATGTAAGTACGTTACCTTGTACGTTACCTAAGTGGCAGCATAAAGGCAGATTCAAGTACTTATGCTGGTTCTACAGAAAAGTAACTGATTTTAGTAAATACAGGCGTACCTTGGTTTACGAATGCCTCAGTTAACGTAATTTTTGGTTTACGAACGAAAATCCATTGAAAATAATGCTTCGGTTTACGAATTTTTTCGCAACACGAACGGATTAATTGGTTTTCAATGCATTTACAAATTTTTTTTTTATCATTTCCTTTTATGCCTTTAAAGTGCACTTTATAAAGAGTTTTGAACAGAGAAACTGTTTTTTGACTTTTTTCTGACCTCTGGAACGGATTAATTGGTTTTCAATGCATTTACCAATTTATTTTTAATCATGTCCCTGTACAGTATTTATGCCTTTAAAGTGCACTTTATAAAAGAGTTTTGAACAGATAAAAGACTTTTTTTTACTTTTTTCTGACCTCCGGAATGGATTAATTGGTTTTTAATGCATTCCTATGGGAAACTGCATTTCGGTTTCCAAATTTTTGCAATACGAAAAGTCCCACAGAATGCATTAAATTCGTACTGTAAGGGTTTGTTTACACTTGCTTCAAAAAGTGGCATTGGACACGCTTTTTTTTTTTTTTTAAGTACTCCTTGACTTGATAAAGCGCATGCGCATGAAACGTGTCATCCTGTAACTCGCCTTCCCCTTCTGCTTGCAGCCGCATGTTGCTCTTCTTGCATTCCTATGGGAAACCGCGTTTCGGTTTACAAATTTAATGCATCTGCGGGACTTTTTGTATTGCGAAAAATTCGTAAACCGAAATGTGGTTTCCCATAGGAATACATTGAAAACCAATTAATCTGTTCCGGAGGTCAGAAAAAAGTAAAAAAAAAAAGTCTTTTAAACTGTTCAAAACTCTTTATAAAGTGCACTTTAAAGGCATGATACTGTACAGGGACATGATTAAAAATTAATTCATAAATGCATTGAAAACCAATTAATCCATTCCGGAGGTCAGAAAAAAGTTTTATCTGTTCAAAACTCTTTATAAAATGCACTTTAAAGGCATAAAAGGAACATGATTTAAAAAAAATTTGTAAATGCATTAAAAACCAATTAATCTGTTCGTATTGCGAAAAAAATTCGTAAACAGAGGCATTATTTTCAATGGATTTTCATTCGAAAATTACATTAACTGAGGCGTTCGTAAACCGAGGTACGCCTGTACATAAACTATTCTACTGTGAGCAACAAATACATGCTTGGGTCCCCCAGGGCTCTGAAAAAGAAGCTGCTTTGAGTCCAAAGCTGGGCTTTAAGGTGTGTTTTTTTTAATATCTCTCTAGAGTTTTAGAATGTTTATCTGCAAGTTTCCTGTCATCAGGCTAGAACACACAGATACTCTTGCCTTTAATAACCCCATTAAATGAATGACCAATCACATAGGGCAGATGTGCACTGTTTTTTATTTGTTGTTCTAGCACATTGCACAACTGTCCCATGGGTGCAGGGTTTCGCTCACCGTACACTTTTGGACTCTAAGGATTTTCACCAAAGGGACCCTGCTTAACCCTGTTAAATACCATCTCACCCATCCTGTTGGGTTATACCATTAGCTGTTTAACTTATATGAATTTTGACCAATTGCTATAGGAACCTCACTTTGTGACATTTTGCATTATGACCACTACATATCAGACCATTTGTTCGATTTTTTTCTTTTTATCAAACCTAAATAAAAACAAATGAAAATTAAATAGCTGGCCATAGCTGACCAATCCCCCACAGCTTTTAAACAGCAGACACATCTTTTCGACATCCTTAATAAATACACGTCCAGCTGAAGAAGTAGTGTGAAATACGACTCAAACCATATTTTTTTTATTGTTCAGCAGTCCGGCTTTTGCACAAATTAAATGCAGTAATGTGTCTTTGTGAGTCAGCCTTGGATAAAAATTCCACAATAGCAGCACTGATATGAATGCAAGGTAGGACTTGCTCTAGCACTGGAAAGCAACGGGGTCCCTCAATTTCTCTTTAGCTCCCTGCTGCTCGAAAACTGCCATGTCCTACCTTATTAAGCTCCATGTACACGGGACGTTTGGAAAACACTTCTGAATGATGGAAACTAACTGCTGGAAAACGTAGGTAAAAAACATCTGTTTAGCCTCGTTTGCATAATGCGTTTATGAGCGTTTGCGTTTAGAAGCGTTTTTTTTAAGATAACCTCAGGAGAATTTCCAAAATGCCCAGAATGCACTGAAAAAAACAGTAAAAAATTTACTCTCTTTCAGGCATTTTGAGAGAAAGAGAGAGCAGAAGCAGAGAGAGCAGTATGTGTTGAGATTACATGTCTTTTCTGGTTGTATTCACTATGGATCCCATCATGAGCATAATGCGGCACGTTCTACCATTTTTTCCTTCACGCAAAACCTGGAGCTGACTGCGCTGGTGTGCTAGGTCCATTTGAATTCATGGAAAACGCTTTGCTTTAATTTCTGATGATGAAAAAAAGCATTTGGATATGGAACAGTTAAAAAACGCTTCTAAACGCAAACGCTTATAAACGTGTTTAGCCACGTCTGAAACGCTGATAAAAACTAGTCCTGAACGCAACTTTGGTGCGTTCAAAAAAATTACTGTAAACTCACCTGCCTGTAAATGACGACATAGTGTACATGGACACATAGGAAAACATCAGGGAGAGTTCAGGGGCTGCTGGAAAAAATGCAGAAAAGCTCCTGAACGTGAGTTTATGAGCTGCAGTGTACATGAACCCTTATGCAGGTTGAAGACCAGTAGATATTGAGGAACACCTTTGAAAATTTAATCATAAAACTGGAGAGAAAAGTCTGCAAAACAGCAGACAAAAACTGTCCCTCGGAAGAACTTCCGATGAATTAGATGAACTGACTTCTCCTAGTTTATTATCCATTTCATTTTCTGCAAGAATGTGCTGAGAAAGTCCAGATATAATGGGGTAGGTTTACTAAAATTGGTGCGCTCAGAATCTAGTGAAGCTGTGCATGGTAGCCAATCAGCTTCTAACTTCAGCTTGCTCAATTACAGTCCTTTCACAGGGGGTGGATCCGTTTGCTGAGCAGGGGATCTCCTTGCTGAGCAAGCGGATGACAGCTCTGTGTCTGCTCCACTGCTGCAGAGCAGACACAGAGCACCTTGCTCGCCTCAATGGGTGGTCGGATGAAAACGGACCGCCTGTCCGTTTTCATCCGATCTGACCGACAGAAAGGGAATTGGATCCCAATCCAGCCCTTTCATCCGATCTGACCGACAGAAAGGGAATTGGATCCCAATCCGGCCCTTTTTGGCGGATGAGATTGGATGTCAGCAGGTGGAAATGGACACATGTCCGTTTCCTCCTCCCACTCTATAGAGGAGAATGGAGGTTCTGATTGGGTCAGGAAAAACGGGCAGGCGGACCTGATCATAACGTTCGCATGAAAGAGCCCTTAACCTTTGACAATAAAACCTGGAGGCTGACGCCAGATTTTGTAAATAACCCCCAGTGTGTCTTTAATGGTTCTCATTTATCCAGGTCATGGTATATCTACATTGCAGTGCGTAGTGTATTCACATTCAACTGGCCTTCTTCGGAAATGCTGAAGACATTTCGTAGTGTATTCTAGCCACATTCAGTTCACAACTGGAGAAGTGACTTGGATAAGCTACAAAAAAGCCTTTAACATTAACCCCTTCCCACCCAGCTCCAGCATCCCTTTAACCTCCCTAGCGGTATGATTATTTCAGATTTTTTGGTGCTGAAAGCGGTACCATTTTTTTGCATGGAAATATGTATTTTTTTTTATTGTAGGCCTGTAATTTAGGAATAACTCACTGAAATCTGTCCGAATAAGAGTCTAGTAAACATTCCGGATATGATAAAACTTGAAAACACAAAATCATAATTTATAATTTAATAAATAATCATAAAAAAAATAATATATAATAATAATAAATTTAATTAAATAATATAATCAAACCAAAAACACTGACATTTGAAATATAGCACCAAGTTCGAACATCGCTGAGCAAAGTCGCAGAATCGTTTTCAGTGTCTGTTGACGAATTTCCCCACAAATCATTATCACTCAATTCTGCAAGTGGTTCTAATTTACTATCGCTGTTCTCTAGCTGGTCTACAACCGCTTTTGACATAAAGGGACGCTTTTTGGACGCCATGGACTTTTCTAAGTTTCAAGGCAGAAAGAACAGTCAAAATGCAGGCAGGGGACAGGACAAAGCACTAGGGACAAAATGTATGTGAAATGTTTTGAAATAGCAATGTTTACTCTGTAATAATCATTTTTAAAAAAATGAAATTTTTAAAAAAAATTTCAAATTTGCCGCTTTTTCTGGCGCCCGTATGTCCCGACATCACAGGGACTGGAACACGGAGGCCGGATGCCGGCATCGGCCGGAGGAGATGGCCGGGGACGCTGCAGGGGACGCATCGCGGGAGCGAAGGACAAGGTAAGCGCTGCAGGGACTCCCTATGCAACGCTGCATGGTAAGCCCGAGTGTAGCTTGGGGTTACTGCTTGTGGTACTGAAACTTTACCCCGAGCTACACTCGGGAATACCACTAGGGAGGATAACAGAGTTTTTATACCCAAGACCAAGAAAGGACTGCCTGATCACGTGATCATTGGCGGTCACAATGATCACATGATCAGGTTCCCATCCATCCAGTTCCCGATCATTTCTACAGACCAGAAGT